AGATTGGTTTGTTGTGGGGTTTAAAGTGCCCCAAAACTATTGTTGTAAATGTTAAATGTTGAATATGGTTGTTGGTAAGAGGAGTTTGTGTTGCTGTTATGTGTTGTCGAGTCACCTGTGACCCATAGTGACTCTATGCACAGCAGCTCTGAAGCCTGCCCTGTCCTGAGCCAGTCTCACTGACTCCCACACACCAAGCCCCATCGCCCCAGTTACTATATCAATTCATCTCATCCAGAGTTTCCCTCTCCTGTGCTGTCCCTCCTCCCTTCCGAGCATGATGTCCTTCACCAAGGACCAGCCCCTCCTGGCCACGTGCCCAAAGCATGTGAGCCAGAGCTTCAAAATCTTAGCCTCCAAGGAGAAATTTTGTTTCACTCTTTTTTATTTTATTTTATTTTATTATTTTTGTGTGCATGTACCGTCAAATCAGATCTGACTGGTACAGGAGGAGATTGTCCCTCCTTACCCGGCAAAGCATCTGGTGGATTCGAACCGTTCGCCTCTGGGATTGTAGTTGCAGCTCCTTGCCACTAGGCCACCAGAGCTCCCCTGTTTCACTCTTTCTAAGGCAGACCTATTTGGTTTTTTGGTAGTCCATGGTATGTTCAAGACTCTTCTCCAGCACCACAACTCAAAGGCATCAGTTCTTCTTCTGTCATCTTTAGTCACTGTGCAGCGCTCTGAAGCATAGCAAGTAATTGCAGAGACCATGGTCTGGATCAGGTGCATCTTACTCTCCAGACTGACATCGTTGCTCTTCTGCACTCTGGAGAGGTCTCTGGCAGCAGATTTTCCCGGCGCAATTCATCTTTTGATTTCCTGGCTGCTGGTGCCAAGAGTGTTGATAGTGGAGCCGAGCAAGCTGTAACTGTTAATAACCTCAATCTCTTCTCCAGCTGTCATGGTGCTGCTAATCGGCCCAGAGGTGGGAATCTTTGTCTTCTCAATGTGGAGCTTCAATCCATATTAAAAACCACAGTCCTTGACCCTCTGCAGCAAGCACTTCAACTTCTCCTCATTCTCAGCAAGCACTGTTGTATCATCTGCATAATGCAGGGTGTTGTCTTCCTCCAATTCTGATGCCATATTCCAGATATATGTAATATCGTATATTGTCTAGATCAAAGACGATGGCCTTCAAGATGGATTACACACAAACATCAAGAAAACAAAACATTCGTATGTAACAACATAATTTTTTTAAAGGGGGGAAACAAACAAAAATCTTTGCCATTAAAGCATTAGGCAACATCATGATAGATGGAGAAAAGACTCAAGTTGTCAATTATTTCATTTTACTTGGGTCCATGATTGACATCCTTGGTAGCAGCAGTCAAGAAAACAAGGGACACACTGCATTGGGTAAATCGGCTGACAATCTCTCTCTCTTCCTTTTCCTTTCTTAAATAAAATTTTTATTTTACATTGGTTTGCTTACAAAGTTAGTAGACACTGTCTTTCACACCACGTCTTTCCCATCTCCTTTACCTTTCCCCTCTACCCATCAAATTGTGAGACCCTATGATTAGCTCCACTGCCCATCCTTATCCCTCTGCTCCTACCTCCCCGCTTGAATAAAGTGCTAAAGAGTAAGGATGAGAGTTTAAAGACTAAGGTGCAGGGGAGCTCTGGTGGCCTAGTGGTAAGGAGCTGCAACTACAATCCCAGAGGTGCACGGTTCAAATCCACCAGATGCTCTGCCGGAAAAGGAGGGACAATCTCCTCCTGTACCAGTCAGATCTGATTTGACGGTACACTCACACAAAAATAATAAAATTTTAAAAAATCCAAGATTATGTAATAATTTTAATTGTGATTTTAACGAATTGTAATTCATTTTCTAAAACAAAATGTACCTGGAG